TCCCATTAAGGTTGTCCGGGAACTAGGAATCAGCTGATCAGATTATTGGCAGACATTATCAAGCTGTGTACAATTAGCTTTTTATTGGTGAGAAGCCAGAAAATCCTCTTTGTTTGCAAGCTTGGACTATAGAGAAAGAAGAGAAATATTTCATGGAAGAGTTTGTTTTGAAACTGCAGATCCTAATTAGTGTCTCAGCCTTGTAGTGAAACTGCATGCGGCATTTCTCTGGGAAAAAAAAAAGATGCTTTACACATCCTCTTTTGAGGAATGCGGGTTGCGTTCTTGAAGGGCACAGCACACATGGAGCTCAGTGCAGATATGGATACTTTACCACCTCTGTTCTGTTCCCTTGGTGTAGGCTTCTTACATTCCCACATGTTATATGGCTCCTTTTAGTACCAATGCAGACTGAAAATTTAACACAGGTTAAAACATAGGTTAAAAATTGGGCTGTGCCATCCACATGTAACCTGTGTAGGCTGCACACTCAGGATCAATAACTTCAACTTCAGAGAAATTTGGATAAGCATTCCAGTAGTCCAGAGCTTTTTATGCTGTATGTTAAAATTACAGTATTTTAAGTCCAAGGTGACTTTTATTCTAAAACAATCCTTTATATTTTCAGCATCATCTTATAAAACATTTTACCTGATTGATTTTAGATGTTAATGACAACTTAAATTACTAACATAAGGCTGAAATTTTCAGTATCATGGTATCTCCTTTAATTCCTCCAGTGAACACCATAAGCTCCATGTGCTTGTTGTAAACGCCATTTACACAGACTGCAGCATGCAGAGATAAGCAATACATCAATTAGTGGCACGGTTAGAAGATCTCTATCTATTCTAAGACATTTTTCGTTTTTTCTCCTGCTGTTTTTTGTGGGTTTTTTTTTTTTGTTATATCCTAATATTTTTTCTCCCCAAACACTTAAATCAAACCAGAACTTATCACTATCATGTTTTCTCTTTTTTGGAGCATCACTATGAAGGATGCCAAGCCTTCTGAAGTAACAGAAGTAAGAGGCTCTCCTAGTCTGCTCCGTTATTTTGAGTCTTAAAGACATATGAGTACAAAGCCCATTCAATGATATATAAAGGTCTTAATCAAATGTCTGAATAAAACCCTGAAGCAGTTATATCAAAGTATCAGTGATGCGTTTTCCAAAACAGAACCAGAGCAAGAATATGCACCATCTTCCTGTGATTTAAACAGATTTTAAGTGAGCTACTGGCTGCTATGCTTAGGGTGAGATCGTATCAGAAAGCAGAGTATTTTGCAGAGTTTAATTGTGGTTATTTCTGGGAATGACAGTGCCAGTTTGTGAAATACATATTGCGTTTGTAGTGGTTGGAGTACCTGGCACTTACTAAGGAGTAATAATCTGCATAGGCTGTCAAACTCCAGTGCTAGAGTCAAGAATAAATACAATAAAGTGGGAACATACACTTCAGGTTTCAGCAGTAATGGGTTTAGCTACTTCTCTCTTCTTTGCAACCTAGCAAATCAATACAAGCTGTTTGGTTTTGGTTTTTTTTTTTTTTTTTAAACCACTGGTTGTCTTGCCCACCTCACAGTAAACTCCTCAGTGGAAGTGGGCTAAATGCACCAATACATTTTTGGAAGGCAAATCTAATATCCCCTAGATTTTCAGTCTAAGGGGTGGAAAGCAAAAGTCCTTTGGATTCAGACCCTTTCGCATGGGTATATGAGAGTGGTTCAACCACCTGACTTATTATGAGCGCTTGCAGAGGACACCTGCTCTGGTCTCCAAGGGATATTTGCAAGGGCTACCTTTAAGCCTTGCAGGCTAGTATCCCTTGGTGAGTACACTCTGAAGAGAAAAAGATAATGCAGAGCAGGAATAAAAAAATTGTGCTTAAGTGATCTGCTGGAGGAGCTGCTGTCATACACACCCAGGGAGACTAGTTTCCTCTGCTTGGATCTCACTGTGGTAAATGCTCCTCAGGCTGCTTGTGCTGTGTCTGTATGTCCTCGTCCTAAACTCTGAAGTCCACTTCTCCCCCCTCCCCGGCTTTGCCTCCTCAATAGATCTCAGCTCCCCACTCACACATGTCCTAAACTCTTAAGTCCACTTCTCCCCCCTCCCCAATAGATCTCAGCTCCCCACTCACACACCCCCTTTCAGCACCCCAACAGTTCGGTGCCTCTGTCCCCACGTGTGTTTCAGCCCCCGTCTCCTCCCCTTGCAAATATTCGTCTCCCTGTCTTTCTGTCGTAACTAAGACAACTTGGTTTCCACTTTCTGCTCTTCTTTCTTCCTGTGACCAGTGAGCCAATAAGATAATTTTCTTGCTCTAAGTTTACAAATCCCTGCTTTTTCCTAGCTAGGATTGTGGACAGGGTGGACCAAATGTTCGATAGAATTGAGTACCAAATTCTAAGGCATCTCTACTGAGTACTATATGCAGTACTATATTGGTTTTCTTTTCAGAAGGTTATCAGTTGGCCAGCTATAGATTACCCTGGAGATAACAGAAGGCACCTGCTTGACACAAATGATATCTGCCAGATTTCAGTTTGCAAAGCCAAACGATGAGGGGGTATGAGACAAATCCGAAGAGACAGTCACCAGAGCTCTTTAACAAGGGAAAAAATAAGATATGTTTCCCTAGCCTGTTTTTCAAAAATACCTGAACAGTCTTGGCTGACATTTTCCAAAAGCAGACATCAAAGGCAGACATTGCACATGGAATATTTTAGTCCAGAAACTGAAAAGACCAACAAAGTTATGAGCAGCTGACTCTCTCCTACAGCGAAAGGCACAAGGCAATCTTAAAAATAGGCAGCCCTACCAGCTTACATGGGTGACAGCAAACAAACAAGGCAGGAGTTTGTGAAATACTAACTTGCAACCCAAGGTATTCCTGTCAGGCAAGGGCATTTTCACCTCCCAGAACAACAGCAAATGGAATTCTTATTAGGACTAACACAGCGTGCTGAGCCCAAGAAACACGCCACGGGGCAGGGATATGCTAACGTTGTTTGCACAGTAATTTGGCTCACTCTCTTAAGTGTTCTGTAACACGCATAGGTCTTGAGCCTTGCCTACAGCGGGAATTTAGCCACTGATATAAACTGCATCTGGAGGATTGTTCTGGTAGCAGATTTACCCTTTAGTGAAAATTGCCAGGTCGGCAATGCTCTTGATACTGTTCTTCGAAATCTCCACGTTAAAACGTGTACATCCGATTTCCAGACTTAGTTTTTAGCTCAGCCAAAATGAGAAGCCAAAAGTTGAGGCCAAACTGAGCTATTTGCATGACCTGCAGAGGTATTCACACCGAAGAGGTTTCTCCGGCGAGATGCGAACTGACAGCACTTTCAGCTGAACTTCATTTTGAGGGCTCAGAGAACAGCTATACAAGTGAGGAAAGCTGAGAAATACGTGGGTTTTTTTAGTAAGAGACTCCAGGCACTTCTTTATGCAGGCTATTAAAGAGAAGATGAAGGAGTGGCATGGTCAGAGCCTCAGAATACCAATGCAACAAGCAAACACAAGCTTTTCAGGGTAGCAAAGGTATGGCTAGTAATTGCAGCTAAACAAAATACCAGTATAGAAACATAGCGACGTTTCTTAAACAATGAAAGTAATTAACCTTTGGGAGAAAAGGGCTGTCATGGACCCTTTCTCACTGGCACCAGTGCATCCTAGATATTTTTCTCAAAGATACTCAGGAATTCAGAACTAATTAAGGGTGCAATAAAGTAGAATCCAAAACCCTCAACTTCCAGGATTTTAGCTACAATTTCCCACCGTTGCTAACCACAGCTACTGGTAAAGGTTAAAGGTATAGATGTAATTTGGCTCTACAGGTGCTTTAATCTTTGTTTTGCCTAACCTTATGCTGAGCAGGGCCACACAAATTAGCTTTAACAGTAGTTATCTACTGGTACCAGATCTGTACTGCGCCTCTCAAATTGTTGCAACTCATGGAACTGGCTGGCATAGATTGAGCCCACAAATTAAAACTCAGAAATCTAGGCTTAACACTCCCCTTCTGAGGAGAAACAGCCAAACTTCTTATTTCCTCACTTAAACATCATCAGTCAGTTGAGAAGCGTGATGGGCAGGGTCCCTCCATTGGAGCTAATAGCATTAACTGTCTACACCCCCCCCAGCACATTTCACCCAGTGGTTTCAAAACGGCTTATTTTACAGCACATGGGGACTCTTCATCACCATGTGACATACAGGGTTTTAAAAATTAGGAGTTACTTATTGCTCAAGCTGACACAATAAATCAGCTGCCACATTGAGAATGATAACCAAGTATGATGGATAACGTCGCACACTGCAGGAAAGCAGGACACCCTACGTTCTGAGCTGGAGAGATGTAGCCACTGGATGCTGTGTTACAGTGACAGCGAGACCTGCAGGGAATGGGTGACTATAGGCTTGCACCTGAAAGTAAAGTGCTTCTAATCACTAAAGAGTTACTAGAGATGGTGCTGTGCAGGATCAAGCCCATTCAGTTTCGAGAAGGCAGGAGGAGAAGCTGGATAAACTTCTTGATTTGGTCTCTTTGACTGAGCTCTGTTCCTCAGAAGGATTCACTGGGGGCCTATTATGAACCGAGAAGAAGGATGATGAGGTGTTTGATGTGGTAAACAAACACTCCCAGCCAGAGATGCACATGTCTGTTTAGGAAAGCAGTTTTCAAAACAATTCTCCCCTGACTGAATTAGGTAGGAACTACAAGGATTCCATGTCTCTTCCAGTTTCTGAAAGCTAAGTTACTAACAGCCTCGATATTTGCATTGAATCACAGTCCATTAAGATCATTTTAGTCCACCAAGGACAGAAAGCACGCACCTCTAAATATTTATAAGGGAGATACTCCCTCCAGGTTCATTTCCATCAGCCGCTTCCAACGCTGGCTCTCCAAATGGCCAACTCTTCCAGCAGAACTGTTTCCTGCACATCCATCTGCTCGCTTTGTTCGGATAAACACGCATCTCTCCTGCGAGCCATGTGGTACCGACTTCTCTCTGCCGCATGCACGGTTAGTGGGGATGCCCTGCAGAATCTTTATTGTGAGTGTGAGTCACAGAAAGGACCCAGCTGGGTATCTGGAAGCCCATTTGGGTTTACGAATTAGCAGGATGAGGGAGACTTTCTTTTCTTTTAAACCAATCCATGAAGCAAGCCCAATACGGAATTACTGAGTTAATATACATGAATAGGCTGCCTGTCATTTTTCACAGAGTCCTTTCTATGACTCTAACTGGAAATACCAAGTAGTAAAAGAACAGAGAGACTAACCCCCCCACCCCCCATTGCTCTGAAGGGCAGTTTCAGAAAACACGAAAGGCTGGATCAGATTGGCAGTGTGCAGAAAGCTACTGCCACTGCCGTACGTGCTACTGGTCAGCAGATAAACAAAGCAATCCTGTTGCCAGGGCTGTGAAGCCAACAGTAAATTTACACAGCCATCTTTCTAATAGCTTTGAAAAATAAAGGAAAACAAGGCACAGTCATTTCAAGCTCCATTAGAAACAGAGTGAGAAAAATCAATGTTTGACAAATAGGAAGGGACAAATTCTGGATAAGGAAATGCTGCTAAGCTTTTAGAGACATATGTGCTTTTTAACTGGCAATCAAATAGCGAGTGACCAGATGCCTTTGAAATACCTATGCACTTTAATGGCAGGAGCTGTTAAAATATACTGAGTCCATCATTAAAGCAAAAGGGACAAAGCTCTCATTAGTACTTTCTGTGTCACTCAACCACACTCGACAAACTCAGCAGTGAGGTTAGTTTTGCAGTTCCTTGCTCAACATATCTGTACCATCAATTCTCTACTGATAAAAGCCTGTTTATGGTTTTTTCCAGTTAGCTATTTAAGTTTGAAACATATGCTTGGGTTAGAAACGTATTCTGTCCTTGTTAACTGACCTTAGACTCAGACTAATTTAGGTTGGGAGGAATCTCTGGTGGAATCATCTAGTCAACCTGCACCTCATGAAATGTAAAATGAGCTACAGAGATGGTACAGGGCTTACTTTCGGGGTGCAGGAGAAGGGGATCAAGAACTGTATCATATTCCTGACCCAGCATCGTATCCTCTCAGCTGCAGTTACCATGAGAAAAATGAAGTCTGGCTGCTCATTGGCGACACCTGAACCGTGACAACTTGGATTTCCAGGAGCAGTGAGTCTCCTCCTTGCCAGAGACACACTGAGTAACACCACCTGCCATGGGAAATTTCTCTCCATGCCCTGGCACTTGACATTGCCAGCCTCTGAACTGATCCTTTCAAGTGGCATCCTGCCCTCCTTCCCCAAATTGTGTCATTCCCAAAGTTGCCTTGGGTTGCAGCACCAGGTGGCCTTGTGGACAGCACAACTTTCTTCATTTCCCCAAAGACTGTGACTGCACCATGTCCTACTCTTGTCAGTATTCCTTAAAACTTTCCTCATGCCCAGTATGCCTAATGAAGTTTAGCCCACCTGAGTAAACACTACAGTAAGCCACAAACAGGGCTGTAAAGCATGTCTCGAGGATCTCCCTCTTTCCTCTCTATTTCACTCCTAGTTGTGGGAAATTCACAATGGGGATTTTTCTCCAGCTCCTTGACATTTGTGCAACAATTGTGCTTCAGCACACAGAGTCCTCAGCCTGCTTTTTCTGCACTGTTTACCTTTTCCTTTAGGAAGTCAGCAGAACTGACCTCTCGGGGTGAATTTGTGTTGCAATGCTTTGCAGAAAGCACGCAGTCTAGCACCTTTGCTCCCTGTGCGGCAGCTCCAGGTGTCTCCGGTTTGCTAAGCAGCACATTCCCTTGTTGCCTCCTACAGCAAAACTCCATACAGGGTCTCCTGGATAAAAGGCAATTACACACTACTTGTAAATCTAACAGCCTTGCATTAAGCCAAATACAAAATTTGATCCAATGTAATCCCTTTTTTCCTTGTCAGATGACTATTTGTTTGACTGCCTTTTTGTGCTTTCCTGAGCTCCAGCCCTCAGTCTAAGCAGTTTTTTTACTTCAAATGAAGCCAGTTGCTGCCACGAGTCTCTACAGCGTTCCCTCTCTGTGGAGGGATGTTTACGTTCTTGCTGTCTCCCCCCAGCCCCCCGGAGCAAACACAATCCCTTCACTTTGCAATGCCAAAAATAGAAGCGTTGGTATTCAAATTGCGAACAATCGGGGTTGCCAAACAGTCCGTATGACTGCACCGTTTCTGAATCATGGCTCTGAGTCATTTCCCTCACCTAAGCTGCTCTCTTCCCCCATGCAGATTGCAGGAGCAGGGAGAAATACGGCACTAATGTTCTCCTGTCTGTCTGTCTGTCCCATCCCCATCCCCTGCAGCCTGCCTGCTCCAGGCCGAGCTGGTGAATTACGAGCGAGTCAAGGAGTACTGCCTCAAAGTGCTTCAGAAAGAAGGCGAGAACTTCAAGGCGCTCTATCGATCAGGAGTGGCATTTTACCACCTGGGTGACTTCAACAAGGCCCTCTACTACCTGAAAGAGGCAAGATCCCGCCAGCCAACAGGTATGGGGGGGGACAGACGATGGGGATGTGGCTTTGCGTTGAGCACTTCTGCATTTCTTTTTAGGAGACTTAGTGTGTCCCTTTGTTGATTGCCTTAATTTCCTCAGGGATGAGCATGACTCACTGTATCCTTAGCTGTACTCCCCTTCAGGCACGCTCTCCTAGTGCAGCAAGGTTGCAGTGCCCAACGATTAACCACTGCCGAGGCTGCAGCACAACCTGGAAGATGACAGTATTGCTGGAATGCCATATGTGTGGAAAGGATCCTTCCTCTCTT